ATGCTTTGACAAGCGTTTTAACCCACAATGGCATGTTGACGAAATATTTCTAACTAGAATGACATAGATTTCATTATGTTAATGTATATGTACGCAAATCATGTTTGAAATGTTTCTAGACACATTTAAACATACAACTAACGTCGCCCAATATATGCAATTAAACAAAATAGATTTTATATTGTGTTCTAAATCATAATGATTGACATTTAACTGGAACGACGAGTATGTTGTTATAGTTAACATAAAACACCATAAGTGTCGTTATTAATTCGGCTTCAACCTAAATATGAAACGAACAATCTTCATGATTAAACTCAACAAATCATTTATAACGTACAACAACATCTTAAAATTACTTAGGTAGCATAGACACTTTAATTTCGTTAGGTTTTCGCTTTTATTAACCATAAAATAGCAGGTATGTAATTTCTGGAAATTCAATATATATTTATATTTGATTATCCAAGTTGGATGAGTCAATTTTTCCAATTGATATTGTATAGAATTTTATTTGAGTTGACACTAGGAGTCCTTTTGGTGTCCCCAACTCCGACGTCAACTCAACTAAAATTAGATTTGACATCAATTAGGAAAATATTCTCGTTCCCCACTTTGATAATTAAATATAAAAATAATACAATATTTTTGGAGGGATGTCATTCTCTCATCGACGACTGTATAATGAGAGTACCATTATTAGCTTTGCCTCGCAAAACAAAATTATGTAGTAACTGTATTAAAACAACAACAATCAACATGCAAAAAAAAAAAAAAAAACTAAACACAAGAGGAAAGAAAAAAAAAAGGAAAGAAAAAAAAGGAAAAACAATCACAAAACACATCAACATTATGTTTCCAACCTACACTAATTCCATAAAGCCAACCTTTGCTTTTACACTAAAATTGTACATTGAAATAGTATAATAGTTAAATAATAATAATAATAATAATAATAATAATAATAATAATAATAATAATAATAAATAAATAAATAAATAATTTTGAAAATAAGCCAAAATGAAAGGAGCCAAAAGTGTAATACAACTATGAACATTAAATTTGCCATTCAAATATTCATCCATAAACATTAAATGAATCGAAATAATAATATCACACGACCTTTTACATTTTGATTCCGTGATATTAGCAAGTGTTGAAAAGTCTTGCAATGCTCATACATAAATTATAACCAATTTGAAAGTTGGCAACTAGCAAAATGTTTATTCCTAAAGTAGCATATCTTCAATAATTTTGATTTTCTTTAAGTAGATAAAAATAATTGTGGTAATTGGCTAAACAAAAGTTATAGAATCTTACTTAATAATCTTTTTAAGAAATAAGAGGAATAATCTTGATTATATACTAGAAAAGAATATGACAAACGATCTAAAATAAATGATGATCAAAAGTTAAAGATCAAATTAAACCTCAACCTACAACTTGTTTATTTTTTAAATTAATTAATTAATTAATTTTATTCTATTATTAAAAGATTGAAACAAAGCTTCACGATTTGTAGATATTCAATTCTTAATATGAGTGCTAGTTGCAGATCATACTTATTAAAAATACAATTATAAATACAAATAATAATTTGTATATCTAATTAATTATAGTATACTATATAAATAATAATCGGGAAAGGAATCATTTTTCTTGTCCCGTTCCCATCCCGTCCCGTTCTTGTCTGGACATGGACTTTTGGCCCGCCTCTGTCCTTATTCCCTGATTAATCAAGGCAACGAGTCACAATTTCACCAACTTATGTTCCAATGACAATAATATAACGTTTGTACGAAATACTAATTTTGGAGGCAAAAAAAACAATCTTTTCCCCTATGTATTATCAAGCATACCATACAACTCTATATAGAAAGCTATTAGGTGACAGAATAAAGTCTACTTAACGATACAAAAAAAGACATGTTGACATTGTTCTACAATTAGAAGAGGTTTAGAATTACAAGATTTTCCACTATCTTAATCTCGTGTTTCCTTCACTTGTTATTCTTTTACAAGTGTTTTGACTCATAACGACATTTTGACGTAATAGTCACGACTGAAAAGGCTCTAATTTTGTTATGTTCATTCTATGCACAAATAAGACTTGTAATGTTGCTAGACACATTTAAATGATTATACAAATAACATTTAAAAATATACGTAATGCAACAACATAGATTTTAATTGTTTTCTAAATCATAACGATTGTCATCTCATTGAAACGATGATTGTTTTGTATGGTTAACATTACAACGACATAAGCATATTTATGTATAAAACGAAAACGGAAAAATTCATATCAATATTAATTTGGTAGCAACCTAAACATGAAAATGAACTACTTCCATAACAAATTGAACAAATCATTTATAACTTTCAACATCTTAAATTAAATTGAGTAACATTTATAGCGTTGACACTTTAATTTTATTATGTTTGCTTCTATTAACCATTAAATAACAGCGATGTAATTTGGCACAATTCATATTATTTTTTATATTTATTTGTCCAAGAGGGAAGAGTAAATTTTTCCAATTTATGTTATATAGAATTTTATTTGAGTTGACGCTGAAATTCTTTTCGTGTTGCCAACTACGACGTCAACTCAAAGATGAGAGCTAAAAGTTTAATACAACTATGACTTAAAACACAAAAACTGAAAATACATGTTAATGTCAAATATAAGCTTTTTATCAAACAAAAAGAAAAGATTTATCATTATTTTTAAAGAGATCGTGAGTTATTCTTAACAAATTAAATAATAATAATAATAATAATAATAATAATAATAATAATAATAATAATAATAATAATAATAATATTCACTAACTAAAGATATTAAAAAATAATAGAAAAAAATTGAGAAAAAAAAAAGATTGAGACTTGTCCCCCCTCCTGCTACTTTAATCGGTATGGGGTGTGATAAGTTAACAAATATATTCGACGAGATAATGGATGGGAATGGTTGCCATGTCCCATACTTGTCCTATTGTCATTCCTAGATAATTATTGTTTTTAAAAATGAGAGCAAATAATCTTAATTATACGCAGAAAAGAGTATGGTAAACGAATTAGAATAAATGTTGATCAAAAGTTAAATAATTTGTTTTCTTTAGATATTTATCCTATACATTCCAATAATTAGCCATTTGTCCTTATGAATTACGATTGTTTCTGTCCAAAAAATGAATTAGGAGGATATAAAAAACATTTTTTTCCCTCATATGTAAATAAAAAAAAAAATTACAAATACAAGAGTTCAACAAAATATCATTTCAAAGCACTTTAATTTAATATTTGAACATAAAACTATCCTTAGTGATAAGATGTGCTTAATAATTGAAAGTTAATGATAATAATGTGTCAAATAAATTTAAGGACATATATTCAACGAATGAAGGTTAAAGACCTTTATTGCAATTAAACATGTGGTTTGACAAATAAAAATCATGATGCGAATATATTTATGATTATCATTTCATTCAAATATTATGAACATGATAAACATCGGCATAGATTGAAATGTTAAATGGAAATAGTATAACAATACAAAATTTAGTGCTTGTGTGGAAGAGATTATTTTAAAAAATGTATATATATATAAAATGTGTGTGTGTACATATATATATGTGTACACATAGATACATATATTCAACAAAACTTACATTTCCTTTTCAGGATTTATATATATTTTTTTATAGTAGTGATTAATACATTATTTGTTTTTATTTTAAGGAAATAGAAGACTCATAGATTTTCATAAAATGTGTTGAAAAATAATTTTGTATCTGAATGTCTAAATGTTAAAACTCAATGTTACTTAAATCGAAAATCTTTTTAGTTTTTGTACTACCTATATAGCAATACATAAATGTTTGAGCCTCATTATTTAAAAATAATTTTTATTTAAATTCATTTTCAATTACATCTTTACAATAAAATAATTTGTATGTGAATCTGAAACCTCTATTTACATTTGAACCACGAATTCTTACAAAAAAAAAAAAAAAAAAAACACTATTTACAAAATGGGGTGTCCTCAACTTGATTTGATGAATTTTAAAAGCCCTTTTAAATTCAAATATCCTCAATTGAGATTATAGTGAATTCAATAAAATATATATGTCCTCAAATGATATTTTAATTAATTTCATCGAAATTATTTAAAATTTAAGTATACTCAATAAGTAATGAATTTGCAAGGATTTCATTAATTAATGGAATTTGAAACAGTTAGATGGATTTCAAATTTAAAAATACATAAACATACTATTTTGAAATTTTACATTTTTAATGAGATTTTTATGAAAATCTATTTAAAATCTATGAAATTTATTAGAATTTATTATCTTTTAAAATCGTTCAAAATTTTAGTCGAGGACACTCAAAAAATAGGTTAAAAACCATTTCTTGTTTTGATTTTCTTCCATATTAGATATATATTTCTTTTCTTAAAGGTTGAACCCCAACTTAAGGGTCCCCTACCGTCCCTATCCTGGAGTATCGTGAAGGAGGTAAATCGCAGGTTATACCTCAAAGGGTACATGGTGGAAGGCTGCTTATACACTTGCACTTACCCAAGAGCCAAATCCATATTTCAGGATTCGAACCCTTGACGCGGCAGCCTCAAGCAATGTTGAATATCTCCACCCTCCCCTTTTACCACTTCGAGATGTGCCCTGTGGGCTATTTCTTTTCTTCCTTCTATCACTCCTTGTATGTAAAGAAAATATTGGTAATTTGTTTTACATTCTCGAACTACATAAGTGGCAACATTTTTATTATAATATAACTTATGGGTCTTTCAAATAAGTAGATAATAAGTGAATAAAACTTCTGTAAAAAAATTCTATCGACTTATAAATAATTATAAACTTTGCCAAACATTCGCTAGGAGCGATATAATCAAAGTGTTCAAAGGGCACTTTTGTCAATTCGTCAAACCACCACATCTCAAACTGTAGTCCTTCGTTTCGCCATTTTTAGATTTTTCTTGCATATAACATTACATAAAATCTTTATTACATAACCTTCTCTGTCAGTCACTCTCTTCCTCCTCCGTTTCTCGAACCTCTGCAACAAACCCTTAAACAACAAAATTGTTGCAAATTACAGATGAATTCTACAATCCCATTTCTGGACCTCAATCTATATCCTGATCCCAGATCCCCTCCTTCAACCTCCACCTTAATTACACCCAAAATCGAGCCAAAACTTGAACTCATAGATGAACCACCGCCGCCTCTGCCTCCGCCGCTAAGCACCGCCAATTCACTGTCTGACCTCCATCTCTCCACCCCATCACCGACAACTCCGTTTCCTTCTTCTTCGTCTGAACCCGATTTGTGCTCTGAATTTCGCCGCATTTCCGAGCTCTTCCGTTCATCTTTTGCCCAGGGCGTTCAGAGGCACGGGCAGGTCTCTGTTCTCCCTGAGTCCGATCCCAATTACGGGGCTATCGTCCAAGTTTCCAACAACGACGCCCAGCTTTCGGCTGTTGTAATTTCGCCTCGGGGAACCCGCAAGTACCCTCAGCGCTCATCTGAGCTAGTCCGGGTTACGGATCTTAAAGCTGATGACCATCGTTACTTCCGGGACCTAATCCGGAGGTCCAGGATGCTCTTTGACTCCCTACGTGTATTTTCTACCTCAGAGGATGATAAACACCGTGATATTCTGGTTCCTCAGAAGAGGACAAGGGGAGATTTGAAGGCGGCAGCACTAATGAGGGATGCGGGTTTGTGGTTGAATCGTGATAAGAGGATTTTGGGTGATATCCCTGGTATTGCAATTGGCGATGTGTTCTTTTTCAGGATGGAGTTGGTTGTTGTCGGATTGCACGGTCATCCTCAAGCCGGGATTGATTATGTCCCGGCCAGTCAAAGCTCGAACAGAGAACCCATAGCCACCAGCATTATTGTTTCTGGGGGTTATGAGGATGATGAGGATTCAGGGGATGTAATAATTTATACTGGGCATGGTGGACAAGACAAACATAACCGACAGGCAATGCACCAAAAGCTGGAAAGTGGTAACTTGGCCATGGAGAGGAGCATGTATTATGGCTTGGAGGTAAGAGTCATTCGTGGTTTTAAGTATGAAGGTAGTGCTAGTGGTAAGGTTTATGTTTATGATGGATTATACAGGATAACTGACACTTGGTTTGATGTCGGGAAGTCAGGGTTTGGGGTTTACAAGTTCAAGCTTGTTAGGATTGAAAATCAGGTAGAAATGGGAAGTAGCCTAATGAAGTTTGCGAGGAATCTTAGGGTTCGGCCACTCGAAGTGCGTCCTAAAGGTTATGTAACACTTGATTTATCTAGAAAAAAGGAGAATGTGCCTGTATTTTTCTTTAATGACATTGATGAAGATATTGGACCAGTTTATCATGAATATCTTATTACAACCATTTTTCCATCGTATGTGTATAATTATGGGAATGGGACGGGATGTGAATGTACGCGGGGGTGTTTGGATAATTGCTTTTGTTTTAAGAAAAATGGTGGTGAGTTCGCCTATGATTCGAATGGGATTCTGGTGAGGGGAAAACCATTGATTTTTGAGTGTGGGCCTCATTGTAGTTGCCCTCCTAGTTGCCGTAATCGTGTGAGCCAAAAGGGGATTAAGAATCGTTTTGAAGTGTTTAGGTCTAGGGAGACACAATGGGGAGTGAGGTCATTGGACTTGATCCAAGCTGGCTCTTTTATTTGCGAGTATGCAGGAGTTGTTTTAACGCGTGAGCAAGCCCAGATTTTCACAATGAATGGTGATAGTTTGATTTATCCAAGTCGTTTTGGTGACAGATGGGCTGAGTGGGGGGATTTATCACAGATATTTTCTGACTATGTTCGACCATCTTATCCACCAATTCCTCCTTTGGATTTTGCCATGGATGTATCGAGAATGAGGAATGTAGCATGTTACATGAGCCAGAGTTCACTTCCCAATGTTATGGTACAGCCTGTGCTGTATGATCACAATAATGTATCTTTCCCTCACCTTATGCTATTTGCTACGGAGAATATTCCTCCTATGAAGGAGATTAGTCTTGATTATGGGGTTGCTACTGCTGATGAATGGACGGGGAAGCTTGCTATCTGTAACTAACTAGTCTTGTTGTGTTGGCTCAATTTTGAATATGAGGCTTGGGCCGTTTATTGGACCATCAATGTGATAAGGTAAATTCATCTTTCTATAGTTTGATTGTTAACCCCTCGGATTTTAAGTTATACAAATGTGTATAACTTGTACATATGCCATAGATTTGAGCCGGTCAATATGCATTCTTTAGTTTATTTTATTGGCTTTCTTTACTGTTTTCTTTGGACATTGTTACTTCCTTTCTGTATTTTTTTTTTAATTTCTAATGGGACCTAGCTGATTTTACTGGTTTAATTTTTTCTTGCGACAAAATTATTGTTGGAAAATTTTCTCAAGTGCTTTGGCTATCATTTAGATTATGCTTCCCAATGTTCTGGACTTGGTATATCAATGCAATAAGATTTCTCCCTAGATGATACTTTCACATGACTGTTTATCTATACAAACAGTTTTATGATAGTCAATCATTCCATTTTATATTATAGTAAGGCACCATAAAAATTTGCAAGATTGTTGAATATCTGGCGAACTAGAGCTAATAGATCGACTTTTTATGGGCAGTAGTCTCTTCTGACATCCTTTCTCCTCGTTCTATTTGTTTATTAGATCCTGCTTAATTATCATGACAGATATTAATTGCAGTGAAATCTAGAGAAAGAATTTTATTCTTGTATCAAATTTATCTCCTATATGGCTTGACATATTTTGTTGTATGAAGATTACATAGATTGCCACACATATCCGTTCAATCTATTATCAGACAGTGTCGCATGTGTGTCCAATCTTATTTTGCGGTCTTGACTTTCCGGCTTTATAGAACTTTTTTTATTATGAAAATGTTTGTCCTCCCTTGCAGATAACTTAGGGTCATGTGCTTTTATCATTTGCTACCCTGTTGTATAACTGAGATCACTAAAGCTGCAGCCAGTATTAAGTTCTTTCTCTTGCCTCATTTAACTATTGACGTTATATTATTTTGGGAATCGCCTAGAACATTACATTTATGGACATGAACCCTATTATATGTGTATGTACTTGCATGTGTGTGGATGATACATAAGTGCTCTTAACCTACTAAAGATAATCATGATATTAGAAGTTGTGAGTTGTGTGATGATGCGCCTCTCTCTTTTAGCAGCTTTATAGAAGTTGACACTACTTCATCCTGAGACTGCCCTTTTCTTATTTTTCCCCCTTTCTTGTGAATAAAAAGAAACATCAGAGGAGGAGAGTAGTATACACACCGTGTCTTGGAGTTTTGTTACTTGACCATGAATGTTGTTTAAGTAAATGATCAACAGCTTTCATTTATTTTCTTGCTGACATGAAATTGTTACCATCTATTCAGTCCTTTTCTTTTGTTGTCGTGAGAGGTAAGCATGGCAGGAATGCAAAAGAATGACAACTTTAATGGGATATTTTCTCATTAAATAAACTTTTCGTGTTTCACAAATTTCCAGAAAAAAAATGTTAGGATGTAAACTGTCATTTGCTGACGAAGTTTCCTCGTGCAGACGTTGTGTGATTAAGTATGCGGGATTCCTTTTCCAGCTGACATAGACTAAATAAATATGCATAAAAATGTTGCTCAGCCGCGAGTCTGCAGGATGGAATCCTTTGCCATGCTTCTGAAGAGACCCTAATGCCAGCAAGTCGAAGCGAAGAATGTGAGAAGTTGCAATTAAATTTGCATGACTGTATAAAATCTTGTTTTTAGCTATGTATATAACAGAATTAGAATTGGAAAAATTGTTGTACAAAAAATGTAGGTTCCTTGTTGGATGATTTCCAGTTCTAAATCCTAATACCGGCCGTAATTTAAGTTGCATTGCTAAAATCTAATCTCTTAACTGGTTATGAAAGGAATAACTTTGTTTGCCATACAGCACATGTTTTGGTGGGTAAAATTGAATAGTGCTGGACAGTATTAAGGATAAAATAGAAGTAAAAATATGGTTAATTTTACTATCCAGTCTGATTCAGATACGGTATTATGTATCAAACACGCACTAAGTTAACCAGAAGTGGCCAAGGATCCTTTCTCCCCTTGCGGTTCTAGTGGAAGACTAGCTTGCTGTGGTGTTTTCATTGTGATATAGTGTTTATGAGGCGTCTGCCCGTGTAACTGTTATGCTACTGTTTTAGTCGCGTCTAGTACTGAATTTTGCAGCTTAGTCTTGTTCATTGTTCTAATATTCGTCGTGTGGCACATTGTGTTTACAAGTTTTTTTTCGCAATTCTGATTCTGATATGTAAAATATTTCATTTCAGATTTGCAAGCATTTTTATAGGCTTCTAGCGATAATTTTCATGGGCTATTATTTCATATGCATAAAGCTCAAAAATTACTGCCTATATGAATGCTAAGTTATTGCCTATATATTTTGAAGATATATTCCTTTAAAATTGAAACTGAATAGTCATAAATTTTGTAATCAGCATTTTGAGATTTGATGCATGATCAAATTGTGCCAATGGTTTCTGTTTATATTAAAAAAAAGTTAGAGCCTGTTGGGGAGTGATTTTGAGAATTGATTTTTTGACCGTTAGAAGAAAAGTGAGGTCCACCTGTGAGAGAAGATGTCAAATATAATGGTTGAAATAGTGAAATAACGGTCAAAAAATTAATTTTTTGAGAGAAAAAATCGCTCTCAAACAGGCTCTTAGTTTCAAGCTGGTTTGAATGTTAATTTTCCTTGAATACTGCATGCTCTATGCATCTAGATCACGTAAGATATTTAGGGGATGTCTTCAATTGAAATTGTGACGAATTTAATTTTTTTTTTCTAAATTTATGTGTCCTCCACTGAGATCTTAATGAATTTTAATTCATTAACATTTATATATCCCCATTTGAGATTTTAATGAATTTTAATTCAATTTTTTAATATTTAGGTATTTTCAATAACTAGTAGATTTATAAATTTTTATTAACAGAGTGATTTTAAAAGATTTGGATAGATTTCAATCTTAAAAATAAATATAACCAAATATTTTGAAATTTCATCATATTTGATGAGAATTTTATGAAATTTACGAAATTTATTAGGATTTATAATTTTTTAAAATCAATCAAAATCTTCGACGATAGCCGTATTAGTTTTTATTTTTATTTACATGAGAATACTTGTTTGTTAAATTGCCAACAACCAAATCCGTGAGAATCTTTGAATATTGGTGTTGTTGAGATTGACCTGGAAAAGAATGCAAGTTTAAGGGCCAAGTTAGGCTTGTCTAGTGGAGGCCTTTGGACAATCAAAAGTCAGTTGAAAGCAATGAGTATTATATTTAAATAAAAGAGCTATATGTATCTAATAGTATAAATTGAATATTGTGTGTATCTATCGGATGACTGTGTACTTGGTCCTTTGTTTGAAGAGTTGAAGCACTCGTGGAGTAGTGACTTTTATAAGGAATTTGGTGGATTTGATTGTAAGTATGAAATTTACATGAAAAGAAAATAAATTTTAAATAATTTAATTGTCTGGAACTCGTTTGTATGAAAATTATTAATTAAATGTGTTTGATTGATTTAATTTTCAATCTAAAAAATATTATATTTGTCTGTTTTTTATTGGTGGGTAGATGAGAGAGAGAGAGAGAGAGTGAATAAATGAGAGAGTAAATTTCCTGGAAAATAAAATCATTCTTTCCCTAAAAAAAATATTTTTCTTGATTTTAAGGAAAATATAGTCATATGACCTAAAGTAGGATCTAGAAAATTGTTTTTCATTAAAAAATATCAATCAAACAATACAAAGTAAAAATTTAGACGGATAAAAATATATTTTTTATGAAAAAATATTGACAACGAAATGTACATTAAGTGTAAATTTATTGAATGTCATAAACAATCTTTACATATTTAGCCCCCGTTTGACCCCCATTTTTGGAAAATAAAAATGGGTGGAATAGTATTTTTTTGAAAAATGAATGGTTGAAAAAGAATAATTTTTTTTTCGATTTACGTGTAAATATTATTTTATGGAAGATTGTGTATTTAAAAATAGGAGAGAAAAAAATGAAATTTATTGAAATATAATTTAATAGGGGCCGGGGCTTAATCAATTGCCTTATTTCCCAGTGGTGCAAATTGAAGCGACGTACTGAAATTAGGCTCCAATTAGGATGAGTTACTATTAGAAGATATTTCTTCTCGAGCCTTTTTAATATTAAATAACAATTTAAGTCTAACTAGCAATATATATGACATTTATGTAAGTTCAATTAAATTTCAGGTTTTGATCCCATTTAATTGAACCTATTAGTTAATGTCATCGAGGCAAGAACATTGATTTTCTCAAATGTGTCAATTGGGCAAATACATCTATAATGATTAGGATTGATATCTCGTATTTGAAAACTAGCAGTTCTCGTCCGGTGTACCCATTTCAAGTTTTAGTTCAATCAAGTATTTAGCGATTGCCAATACGTCTTTTACTATTAAAACACCTCTAATTATAAATAACATAATCTTCATTTTCACATGTCATACTTCTTCAAAAGGACAATGTTTAGTTGAGGTTTATAAATTCATTAGAAATGCACAATTCACTTTTATCTATACATTTCGAGGGACTAATGAGTACTTATTCACCGCTTATTTTTATTTATATAATTTAAACAGTTTATAAACATTTTAAAAATTATTTGTTCATGTATGAGTTCCAATTAAATAGCTGGTCCCAATTATATATTCCACATGTAAATTAAATTGTGGAAGGGTTGTTGATTATCTGAAAATACTAGAAATTTTCTTTCTTAGGATAGATTTACACGCGACATATTACATATAAAATAATTTGTAAAGTGTTAATTTAATATACAAGGTATGATTTTATTTATTTATTTATTTTTTGATATTTTGATTTGTTTAGTTATTATAACGACAAATTTATAAATATATCTAGTTTTTCCCGAAAGTAAAATTATTATTTTTATTGCCATTAACAAAAATATATTATGTAAAATGTAGGTTTATATCATATGATGTTTAAATTGTATATACTGTTAATGCAAGGAGTATTTGTAAATTTTCCATTGCCAATTTAATTTTTTTTTTTTTTTAATGTTTGATCACTCTATATTAAAAACAGACTAATTAAAACATGTTCTTTTGTGAAAAGACCACAATTATTTTACAAATATAACTTTACCACAATTAAAAATTAAAAAAAAAATATCTTTTCTCCAACTTAAATTTGTCATTCAAATTTTTTGTTTTATCAGTTCAAATTTATGCACGTTTCTTCACTTATCCACGCCAAATTTCTTGCTTAATCAATGCTTAGTTTAGTCAAACTAAAATTGATTGTTGAATTTATAGAGTTGTCTTATATCCAACTATTGAATACATGCATGACTTATTTTAGAAATATGCATACATTTCAACTTTCTAAAATTAATACTCATATTTAAGAAAATCTTGTACCTATCACATCATTGACTTACTGAAAAGAATAATTAATTCATCATTGTTTGTAGGGTAATTTTGGATAGAAACAGTCTTAATCCATCCCCAGCGCTGTAAGAGAAGTTACAAGGAATTATCACTATCATTTTTTTTTTTTTGATACCCAGTTCTCCCAATTTCGTCAGACTAATTCCTGGACTTCAAGCCTCCGGCCCCTCATTAGCTTGAGGAAGTTAATCGCGAGTTGTGCCCTTGTTGGCTCCCAAGTTCCTGCATGGCTTATACTCCTTCCCCTAAGAGAGCTCTCGTCACTGTCTTTTAGTACCTTGCCTTCAAGATAAATCCCTCTTTCAAGATGCTGCCTTTCAGGAATCGAACTCTCCACGCTAAGTTTGTGAGCCCACCAATGCAATTGTTCCACCAACTCGGATGTGCTCGGGGGTTATCATTATCATATTATTATTATTATTATTATTTGAATCCATTGCTTTAATGTGCATTTTGCTACATTTCCAATATTTGAAAGATTTTGATCGTGTGCAGAGAAAGAATTAAAAAAAAAAATAAAAAAAAAGCCAGATCTCAGTTGTGCACCATTTTCATAAATTAAGTTATTATAAATATACAAAGAAGATTTTTTTTTTTTTAAAATGAAAAAAAGGAGTCTGCATATAAACTATGTATCAAATTTGTGCATTTATTTTCATTATCTGGTGGATTCCAGTATGTTTCATGTCTGTTTGAGCGAAATCCAAGTAACATTCGTTCCTATGTTATTAACAAGACCCAGTTATTATCGTTTACGTTTCCATCCCGTGTCAATTTTTAAATTGTTATAAATATGCAGAATGGAATTTTTGAATGAACAAGAGGAGTCTGCATATAAACTATATCAAATTTGTGCATTTATTTCCAATGGCATGTGTTCAAGGCTGGTTAAGCGATTCTGGGCCTCGTGCGCCAATTTTATATGGATTGTCATTGTCTATAAATAGATGATTTTTTTGCCTGAAATTATTTTAAATTTTTTTTAGATAAATAAAAATAATAGTTGGGGTTTAACGAGATTTGTGATTTTTGAAGGCAGGGAAATAAGATTTTTCTACTTATTTTATTGGTCTTAAAAAATTACTTTTGACTATTTTACTTAAATGATCGTTCCTATAAAAATGCAGCTAAACTATTGGAGAGCACACTCCTATGCAGAACAAGTAAAAAATGCCAAAGATCGAGCAATGCAATTAATTATCGAGACAATTCACAAAATAAAAATATTCTGAATAGGATATTCAAGAAATACAATATTCACTAGCAACGGCGTATCTACCACTTGCAACATTCTACCGCTACAAGAAAAGAAAATTAACAAGGAAGTACAAAATATTGATTGGAAATTAGAAGGATTTGAACTTTCAGAATCCAAAATTTGGGAGGACAATCTTGGAGACAGGACTTCTAAATCTTGACAATATGATGGAACAGTAAAATAAAATTTACCATGCTTTGTTAAAGTTTGATTCAAATTTTGTTGGGTATTTGTGGATTTGTTGAATTAGGAATTGAAGATGTCAAAATATGGATCAAAGAGGAAAGCCGCCGCATTACTGCTAGCTGGTCACTAGTTTACTGCTCGAGGAATGGATCGAAATTTTCAACAGAAAGCTGCCACCCGCGGGTGCTCGAGCGCCGCACCTATCGCTCGACGCTGTGCTTGTCTGGCCTAAAATTGTTTTCTTCATACTCTTTGTTTTCTTCTTTCTTTATATTATAGTGAAGTTTCCTTTCCTCTATCAAATTTCTCGTGTTCTTCTTTTATTGTGATTGCTATTTCATATTATGCCATGTAATCCCGCCTTC